TAAACTATACATTGTATATACAGTAGATTAAATGAGCTGTATTAACTGCACAAACCCTGTTATATAAAGCCTAAACCCAAAATGTTGATGTCCAGCTTTACATACTCGTGTCTATGTATCAGTCTGTCTCTACTCTATAGCTAGTGACCGTATGCAAGAATATGTGTATATGTGATGTAATTGATATAGTGTCTGTCTCTGTGTGCAGCACATGTGTGAACGGCGCTGTGGTCTCGTCTCCCGTCCAGCTGCATCATGGGGATCGAATCCTCTGGGGAAACAACCACTTCTTCAGGTCAGTGAGACACATTTACACTTGGAGGCTGAGTTTAATTGTGTGTCTACTCAGACCATCACAAGCATTGATTTGTCGTCCGTTAAAATGGATTTGTTTAGTGAAAACTGTGGTTGAAAACGATGTCAAATTGAGCCAAAGCCGTATGTGTGTGCGGTGAGTACGTACTGACTTTAGTGCTCTCTTTGTCTCAGGATCAGCGTGTCGAATGTGTTTCGTGTTGGTGTGGAGGATGAGGAGGGCAGTGTGACGAAGGCTGGTCTTCACGCTGAGCATCTGGATGTGGATCGTCTCAGTCACGCCTCCAGTGACAACAGCTTCAGTTTTGAGTCGGCACAGACTGAAGTCATGATGAAAGCGCTGGGAAGCGACGGTGAGAGACAGACAACCTCTTACAGTCAATATAACCTGGAGTAAAGGGTGAATGTTACAAACTAATAAAAACACATTTGAGATCCAAATGAAATTGAATAAAACTACATTTAAAGTAAATGGCAGCACTGCACCAGTATTCTTCCACAAATTTTATAGTTGATTAATTAATTATTACAGTTTTAATTACCATGCCTATTTAGAGAACATATGTAAACAAAACAAAACTAGCCACTAATAGTTCTCATATATCATGAAAAATGTATTATTTTGTTCTCGTTAACATTAATAACATCACATATAGTTTGACAGGCAAATGAGAAATGATTTAATTCTTTTTCTTTTAGTCTGGAAATTTTTTATTGAATCTAGAACGATTTTTAGAGAGCATGTGTAAACAAAAATATCCACTAATATTTTTCATATCATAATTTTTTTTTTCTTTTGAATGAATAGCATCACATATACCTTAAAATGTGTATCGAAGATTTTAGGCTTTTTTTTTTTACCGATTTAACAAAAAATGAGAAATAATTTGTTTTTAATAATGATTTACTTTTTTCCCTTTATTCTATTATTTAAAAAAATATATATTTTTAGAGAGCATATGTAAACAAAATATCCACTAATATTTGTTATATATGATTTTTTTTTTCAGGCATTTAACACTCAACAATTTCATATATATATATAAATATATGTTTGTGTGTGTGTGTGGGTGTGTGTGTGTTATGTAATTTGTATTAATTTCTAACATAAAAATAATCAAATTATATTATACTTATTATATGGACAGTTTTTCCATGACATGTCGACACTAAAAGCTTTATTATATATTAGTAGATATTTTTAATTAAATGCGTGTGCATTTTGACCATTTCTCCTCAACTTATTTTTTATTATCCAACTCTTTCTTACAAAGCATGTACTTGGTTTAGGGAGTGTTATGTTGCTGCACAAGAAGAGGAAAAAAAAAAAAAATAGATGAATAAAAGTAAAAACCAGAACAACAATCACAACAACAACAAAGGCAATATGTGACCCTGGAGCACAAAAGCAGTCTTAAGTCGCTGGGGTATATTTGTAGCAATAGCCAACAATACATTGTATGGGTCAAAATTATCCATCCAAATTATCCAAGTAAAGATCATGTTCCATGAAGATATATTGTAAATTTCCTACCGTAAATATATTAAAACTTAATTTTTGATTAGTAATATGCATTGCTAAGAACTTCATTTGAACAACTTTAAAGATGATTTTCTCAATATTTAGATTTTTTTGCACCCTTAGATTCCAGATTTTCAAATAGTTGTATCTCAGCCAAATATTGTCCTATCATAACAAACCATACATCAATGGAAAGCTTATTTATTCAGCTTTCAGATGATGTGAAGAAATTGACCCTTATGACTGCTTTTGTGGTCCAGGGTCACATATATAAAGAACAACAGCATTAGATGGGATCTTAATACACAAAGGAAGATAAAGTCTATTTGAAATCATATATATAGTACAAAAAAAGTGTATACTTATTCTTATTGGTTGAATTTTTATCAGTGAAATATGTGTCTCAGAGCCGCAGCAGTCGGTGCTTCACTCTCTGGAGCGCAGGCATGAGGAGGAGAAGCGCTCAGCTCTGGAGCGACAGCGGATGATGTACGAGCAGGAGCTGCAGCAGCTGCGCAGACGCCTGTCGACAGAGCTGCAGACGCAGCACCAGCGCAGCAGCGAGCAGCTCAACGCCAGCCTGGGCTCCTCTCAGAGCCCACTGTGCCAGTGGAGTGACGGGAGGTGCATGCTGAGTTATATTACACACCACAGGAAGTATTTAGTGTGTGTGTGTTTGTGTGCTAAATGTCATGTTTATGTGCTTTCAGAGAGGTTTTGATGAATCGAAGTCTGCGTAAGCTCAAAGAGCAGATCGTGAAGGCCAATCTGCTGGTTCGGGAGGCTGGATTCATCTCTGAAGAGCTCAACAAGAAAACTGAATATAAAGTCACACTGCAGATACCGGCTGCAAACCTCAACGCCAACCGCAAGGTCAGGAGAGGCGCTCTGTGTGTGCGTGTGATTGACTGTTGAAGGATTTATCCGCGTATATTTTTAACATTAATGTTGTAGGTTTATGGTGTCATATTTGTGAATCGTTCAAAATGAATGGTTCATTTAAATGATTCAGTCAGCAAACAAGGATTCGTAAATCATTCTTTGGAAACTGGACTGGATGACGTGTTCGTCACGGTCTGTGTAACTTACTCGAAAACATACAGATAAGAAGCAATATTTGACTATACGTTTAATTAAATATTCATTCAGTTGTCACACTATTTGGCATGTGAATCAGTGAATCAGTTTTTGTAATTCATCAGGGTTCAGACACAGTCATATATATATATATTTATTTATAATATTTTAATACATATATACTATTCAAAAATCAAAAAGATTTTTTTGGAGAGAGATTCATGTTTTTATTTAGCAAGGATGCATTAAATTGATCAAAAGTGTCAGAAAAGACTTTTATAATGTTACAAAAGATTCTATTCTGTTCTTTTGAACTTTCTATTCATCAAAGATTCCGGAAAAAAATGTATCAGTTTCCTCAAAAATATGAATCAGCACAACTGTTTTCAACATTGATAATATTAAGAAATAAAAAATAATGCTAATAATAAAAATTAGAAATGATTATTGAGCATCAAATCAGCGTATTAGAATGATTTCTGAAAGATCATGTGACACTGAAGACTGGAGTAATGATGCTGAAAATTCAGCTTTGATCACAGGAATAAATTACATTTTACAATATATTCAAACAGAAAACGGCTATTTTAAATTGTAATAATATTTCACAATATTACTGTTTTTACTGTAATTTTAATCAAATAAATATAGTCTTGGTGAGCAGAAGAGACTTTAAAATAAAATAAAAAATCGTACCGAAACTTTTTTTTTTTTTTTAATTATCTTTATTTCTAAAACATATTTCATCACTCAGAAATTGTTATGTTAGTTTCTTTTCTATAAACATGAACACTCATAGAAATTCAGACATTGAAAGCGTTTCATTTAAACAAACCATTGAAAGGAAATGATTTGAACGTTCCATCTTCATTACAGTACGTGCTTTTAAAGGACTGTTGAATTGTGGGTCGGGTGAAAATGCTGCTTTAATAATAAAGACTGATGTTTCCTGAGCGCAGCGGGACATGGTTCTGAGCGAGCCGGCGGTGGAGGTGAGGAGGAAGAGCAAAGGCAAGCAGATCTGGTCCATGGAGAAGATGGAGAACCGGCTGCTGGACATGAGAGAGCTCTATCAGGAGTGGAAAGACTATGACGAGGACAATCCTGTAGGTCAAATCACATGACAACTTCCTGCATTATCAGATTTGAACATGCTACACATTACTGTGTTTTTACTGTAGCAACATTGACAATGATATTTTGGAGCTACTAATGTCATATTTATTATTATGATGTAATTTTAATATTGTTTTTTTTTAATATAGTCAATATTTGTAATGTCAGATTATTCAATATTTATTTATTTTCAATTTGAAATTTTTGAAAAACATTTTTATTATTATTTTGAAGTAAAACTATATCTCTCGATTAATATGAGGTTGTAAGTATACATTTTATTATAAAATAATTATTTTTAAGTGAAAATATATATACATTGAGAGATTTATGAGGCTGTAAGTGTACATTTTATTATAAAATAGTTACATTGAAATAAAATAAAATATGTAAGTCTCTCAATTAATATGAGGCTAAGGAAACTAAGTATAACTTATTATATAAAAGAATTAGACAAATCAACTACGCAATATAACTCATAATAATGCTAGAATAACTTTATATATAATTGTCCATCCATTTTTGGTGAATTTTAAGTTGTTTTAATGGAGATCTTAATCTAACCAATAAATATGTAAATACTAGTTATTTTAAAATAGGGCTGTCAATCTCATCCAAAATAAGAGTTTTTGTTTACATAATATATGTGTGTACTGTGTATATTTATTATGTATATATAAATACAAACACATGCATGTATATATTTAAGAAAAATAGGTTATGTTTATATATTAAATATATTTATAATATAATATAAATATATAAATGTATATACATGTAAATAATTAAAAAATATATACTGTATGTGCGTGTATTTATAAATACAAAGATAAATAAACACAGTACACACACATATATTATGTAAACAAAAACGCTTATTTTGGATGCGATTAATCGTTTGACAATACTATTTTAAAATAAATGTAATTTTAAAACAGTCAAAATATAACACTAATATTAAACAATATTTTAGAAAATAAAAATGAAAATGAATTATATTTAAAAAAATGTTTAAACAATTTCAACGCATTTTAAATTTGAAAACAATTAAATTATCACTAAATAACTAAAATATTTTGTTAATATGCATTAATAAATATAAATAAAATATTTGGATTTTTACCTGCGTGTAAGTATATATTTTAGGCCAAAGATTTGGTTTACAAAAAAAATTGGGAATCCCTGAACTAGCATGATGTGGCTTAAAGGAAACAATACTGAACAGTCAATGTTTGTTCCTCCAAAAACGCGGTTTTGATGAGCATCATAAATGAAGTATGCTTACACGTGTTCTCTTCATCCTCGTTGCCTGTGCTCAGGCCATGCGCTCCTACTTCAAGCGTGCCGATCCGTTCTTCGACGAGCAGGAGAATCACAGTCTGATCGGTGTGGCCAACGTCTTCCTATCCTGTCTGCTGTATGACGTCAAGCTGCAGTACGCAGTTCCCATCATCAACCAGAAGGGGGAGGTGTGCGCGCAAACAGATTGGTTCTAACCATTAGAAAGAGCGCAAGCCATTGACTGATTGCCGTTGGTTTTGTGTGTTTTCAGGTGGCGGGTCGGCTTCACGTAGAAGTGGAGCGTCTGAGCGGAGAACTAGAGGAGTGTGAGACGGGAGGCTCTGAGATCAGTCCAGACGGCGAGACGCAAGAACGCAAACTCACCTGCATGGTCAGATAAAACAGGACATCATTCAAACATGCAATATGTGACCAGTGCTGCCAAAATGAGTCTGAATCATAGACTGTATAAAAACATGGACGTCGTGTCCGTGACGTCACCCGTAGGGTTCCGAAGAGAGTTTTTGAAGCTCAAAAGTGGGCGGAGCGGGCCGTCGCCATCTTGGCAGCACGTCACCGCACGTCACTCCCGGATAATCGAAAATGGGCAAAATTGACTCGCTTTTGCAGCCAGCCTCTAGCGGCCAGTTGATGAATTACAGTTTAAGTCACTTCCGTGTTGGCTTCACGAGAGAGAGCGGGAGGTTGCCGCTTGTTCTGAACGCACACGGTCTAATTTTGAGCTACAGGCAAAAGAAGTGAAAAACTTTTCACAAAAATGAGTTCATTAAGCCCTCTTCTAGTGATCCCAATGCTCCAAATAGTAATTAAACAGCTAAAAAGATCTTTATTTGTACGTTTTCTGATTCTTTTAAAATTTGCTCATTCCGACTCATTTTGCCAGCACAGGTCACATATTTCTGTAGATCTGAGCTGTAGTTGAGTGTAGGACATGAATGTTTTCTGTGGGTTTATTTCCAGATCAAGGTGTTGCAGGCGACAGGATTGCCTCAGCACCTCTCCAACTTCGTTTTCTGTCAGTATCATTTCTGGGAGCAGCAGGAACCCGTGTTTATCGCCCCTGAAGTGGGTCTGACGGCCCCCAGCAGCAGAGAGCCGCAGAGTCTGGTGGTGTTTGACAACTGCAAGGTGAAAACACTGCCTTACATGGAGTAAAACATTGCGTTTGTGCCAGTTGTCGGTCATCACGCATGTCTATGTGCATCTGTAGACTCTAGAAGTGGCCGTAACCGAAGACTTTCTGGAGTTTCTGATGGAGGGCGCCGTGGCGGTTGAAGTTTATGGTCACAAACAGGCAAATCCGCGCAGGAATCTGGCTCTCTGGGACCTGGGGGTGATTCAGGCAAAGACTCGCTCTCTCAGAGAGAGGTACATATGCATTTATTAGACTATCCTTAAACACAAAAACTATCACAGATCGTTTCTGTGACAGCAGAGCTAGATTTAGTCAATGTTCAGATGATTGGGGTAAATAAATAATTAAATAATAAAAAATTCAAATGATTAATTTCAGAATAATTTTAAAACGGTAATTAAAATATTTGCGTAAAATATTAAGAAATATAAATAAAATATTTTATTTGTTTACCTGCATGTCATTAAAAAAGTGAAAGTGTGAAAGTGAAAGTGACGTGACATGTGGCCAAGTATGGTGACCCATACTCGGAATTAGTGCTCTGGATTTACCCATCCAAAGTGCACACACACAGCAGTGAACACACACAAACCGTGAACACACACCCGGAGCAGTGGGCAGCCATTTATGCTGCGGCGCCCGAGGAGCAGTTGGGGGTTCGGTGCCTTGCTCAAGGGCACCTCAGTCGTGGTATTGAAGGTGGGAGAGAGCGCTGTACATTCACTCCCCCCACCTACAATTCCTGCCGGTACGAGACTCGAACCCACAACCTTTGGGTTATGAGTCCGACTCTCTAACCATTAGGCCACGACTTCCCCATTAGACCATCAACCAACATTTAATGTAAAATTAAAGTTAATAAATCCTTTTCTTTAAAAAAAAATCTTTTTAAAATACTCAAAATAAAACACTAAAATACTTTACAAAAATATGAATACATATATTTTATTTGTTTACCCTGCATGTCATGTGACCATCAACCATTAATGTAAAATATAAATTAGTAATTTTAATCTTAATCTTAAAATAATAATTAATAAAAAAAATAATTTAACTGTTTTATCTGCATGTCATGTGCCATCATCTGACATATAATGTACAATTGAAAAAAAAAAATGTTTTAAACCATTTTAAATTTAAAACAATCAAAATAAAACACTTACTAAAATATTTTTCTGAAATATTACTATAAAAATTTGTATTTGTTTACCTGCATGTCATGTGACTATTAACAATATTGAATGTCCAATTAAAATGAAGAAATAATTTTAAAATATTTTAATTTTAAAACAATCAAGATAAAACACTTAAAGTATTTCGTACAATTTTAATAAATAAACATAAAATAATTTAATTTGTTTACCTGCAAGTCATGTGACCATAAAACTGACATTTTGACATTTGAGAAATAATTTTAAAGTAATTTGAATTTTAAAACAATCAAAATAAAACACTTAATAAAATATTTTAGTAAAATATGAATAAAATAATTATATTTGATTACATGCATAATGTGAACCAATCAACCAACATTTAATGTGGAATTAAAATTTAAAAATCATTGTAAAATAATTTTAATAAAAAAATCTAAATAAAAACTAAAATACTTTAGTAAAATATTAATAAATAAGATAAATTATTTGATTACCTGCATGTCATGTGCATCATTACCAACATCAGAGAACAGTGAAGATGTGAATGTGTTGTTAAATTATTTAAATATTATTTAAAAATGTTCAAAACGGTTTGGTTGCCAAAAAAGCTGGGGTTTGGGAATACTTGAATTAGGATGCACCAAAAACAGTTGTAATTTGGTTTTTGACTCATTTTGTAAAAGTGAAGTTTCTTTTCCGTTTTATTGTGTGTGTCTGTGTCTGTGCGTTCGTGCATGTGTGTCTGTGTCTGTGTGTCTGTGTGTTCGTGCGTGTGTGTGTGTGTCTGTGCGTTTGTGCGTGTGTGTCTGTGTCTGTGTCTGTGCGTTCGTGCGTGTGTGTGTGTCTGTGTCTGTGCGTTTGTGCGTGTGTGTGTTTCTGTGTCTGTGTCTGTGTGTGTGTGTGTGTCTGTGTCTGTATCTGTTTGTTCGTGCGTGTGTGTCTGTGTCTGTGCGTGTGTCTGTGTCTGTGCGTTTGTGCGTGTGTGTGTTTCTGTGTCTGTGTCTGTGTCTGCGTCTGCGTGTGCGTGTGCGTGTGTGTGTGCAGGTGGAGTGAAGTGACCCGCAGGCTGGAGCTCTGGGTTCAGATCCTGGAGCTGAATGATGCTGGAGAGTTTGTGCCGGTGGAGGTTCAGTCAGCTAAGGACTTCTGCACAGGAGGAATATTTCAGCTCAAACAGGTCTGTGTGGACATTAATGATAGTAACGAGGTGTAAAACTAAATCTTGACACATTTTTCTGTAGAAGATCTGATTTTCCTTCGATGCCGCTCATGACTTGACTATGTGTGTGTGTGTGTGTGTGTGTGTGTGTGTGTGTGTGAGAGACAGGGTCAGTCCAGGCGTGTTCAGGTGGAGGTGCGTTCGGTCCAGGACTCCGGCACCATGCCTCTGATCACCGAGTCTGTGCTCAACATCTCCATCGGCAATGTGGAGGTCCATCAGACTCGAACTGGCAAAATCACAGAGACCCAGAGGGTGAAAAACTCATCTTTAATTTTTAGTTAAAATCATCATGTCTCATTCACTAAACGTTTTAAACATTTTCACACATAAATGTTGATTCAATGTTATGCTAATTTTAAGAACCAGCTCAAACCAGACGTACACTAATATCACAGGTAACCTCAAAAAACATGAAATGCATTAAGCTAAAATGATTTTTATGTATAAATTTGATATAGAAATGTAGTGACACTAAGTGACAGTAAGGCCCTTATATGGATATGTTTGGGTGTGTCTTATGCTAATTACATACTGCTGGCACATGCTTCTATATTATATTATATATTGATTAACATCTGAATGAGGGTAAAATGCACATGCTTGAATTCCTGATGAATCCAGTGTAAAGGTTTCTCACACGTTGTATGTGAGTATTAGTGAATGAGTATTTGTTGATGAGCTCTATTAGCAGATGCACAGGTCTGTACTCAAGGGTTTTTTTTTGTCTTATTTTTGAAGGTGGGAGATAAAGATGTGGACAGTTATCAGGTAATAACTTTTCAGGCTTTTTTAAATAGGTGAATGATGTCTATATATGTCTGTGGTTGTCACTGTCGTTCATCAGTGCGGGACAAGACGCTGAATATTGAGTAGGCATTGAGATGTAAATATGGGTGATCATATGTTGATGAACATGTTTCTGAATGATTCTATTTATATACACTATCATTCATTTTTTTTTAAGAAATTTATAGTTTTATTTAGCAAAAATGCATTAATTTGGTCAGAAGTCAGGAATAAATTACATTTTACAATATATTCAAACAAAAAACTGGTATTTTAAATTGTAATAATATTTCACAATGTTACTGTTTTTACTGTGTTTTTCATCAAATAAATGCAGCTTTTGTGAGCAGAACAGACCTACAGTACATTAGTGTAGATATGAGCTTTACTATGTGCTTTATATATATTAATAAAGCAATATCTTCTGCATGTTTGTACCTGTAGGAGGTTGATCTGGAGAGACTGAGAGCTCGGTGGCTCACAGCTCTAACTGAACGACAGGAATATCTGGACCAACGTCTTCAGAAACTTGTTGGCAAGCACGGTAAGACGAGATGTAGATGACCTGCATGCTTATGGGTTTCTAGAAATCAAATGTGTTTGAGTGGAATATATTGAAGGAACATCTTTTATGAAAATGAGAGAAAAGTGTTTGACGGCTGCTAGTTTTGCTCTGGCTCTTGTAGATAAGTCAGAAGAGGATGTGGAGAGCGAGTCGCAGCTGCTGGAGTGTCGTCTGACGCTAACGGAGGAGAGAAACGCTGTGCTGGTGCCCTCTGCTGGCAGCGGTATCCCAGGAGCCCCGGCAGAGTGGTATGTGACGGTATACTTGCTCATATTTTATTCCTTACTGGTCCTACAATGTTATTTCCTTTCAAACAATCATAGGACTACCTTTATCTAACCATAACCAACTTGTTAAATTCAAATGCAAGAAGAAAATCCAACAATCTGATTGTTTTGTACTCTTTGGTTAATTCAGTTTAGTGAATTCTTCTCATGAACCTTATGTTCACTGTCTGGCTCCTGTTCCCGCAGGGCTCCTGTGCCAGGAATGGAGACGCACATCCCAGTCATCTTCCTGGACCTCAGCGGTAAATATTTACCGTGTTCCAAATCCTGGTGCGCTGCCTTGGATGTTTACTCCCTACATAGGCAGCTGCCTACTAAGGGTGCATCATAACTGAAATAGGCCTCATAAGTGAATGATTTGGAACATGAACCTGACTCACAATTGTTTTCCAGTTGAATTTAATGTCGAGATGCTAACACAATCTAATATGTATAAAACGCACAACACACAAATATCGCTTCAAATAATAAAGTAATGAAAATGTAAAGTGAATTCGTTAACATTAAAATTTAATTTAAAATTAGTTTAAAACTGGTATTTTTGTATTCTTACCTGATTTCTTTTTTTTTCATAATTTTATGTACTTTTGGCATTTTTTATTAGTTTTGTTTTTTAATATTACTATTTCGTATTAAGGCTTTTTTATTGTTCAGTTGTATTTTTTATTTTCAGTTAGTAATTTTATTTCATTTAGTTTTCAATGTAGCATTTCTATTGTTTGTCATTTTAATGTATTATTTAGCTTATTTAATTTCAGCTTTATTAAGAACGTTTTTGTTAGCATGTTGAGTTGATAGCATGATCTAATATAGAGTATATACAATACAAAACATAAGAGTTTTAAATTTAACTGCCTTTATTGCCAAAGATAATAATTAAATGATTAAAAAATGTTAATAAATAAATAATTTTAAAATATCTAAATGAAAAAGCTTTTTTAAAAGATGAAATATTTGATTTGCTTAAATGCGTGTTATTTTAGTATTATATACCATTTTATTTTTGTTAATATTTTGAATTGGCTTTTATTTTTATATTATTATTTCCATTTAAGTTTTAGTAATTTTCTCATGCTTTTGTCATTTTTATTAGTTTATATACACATACACACACACATTACTGTTTTTTTTTTTCAGTTAGTGATTTTAGTATTTCATGTATTATTTATATTTTATTTTATTAAGAACTTTTGTGTTCATTTTAATAGTTTTAGTTTAACACAAACACCCTGATGTGACCATGAACTGACTGATCAGAGAACTGTGAACATGTGAATGTGTTGTTCAAATATTTAAATATCGGCTTAAAATCTCAGAGGGACTTATTTTACAAATTTAGTTCAGCTGACCAAAAAGTTGGGAGTCTCTGTTGTATGAACTATTTGTGATCAACATTTCTCTCTTCTGTCTATCTACAGCTGATGACTTCCGTGATCATCTGTCCGCTCCTCTAGCTGGAGGTCTAGATGCTGCACTCGACAGAGAAGATAAAGATGATTTCATGGACTTACAGATAGTCAAATACTATGATAATGAGGTGAGGAGACCGTATTTTGCTTCTCAGTGGAACAAAAAAACTGCACCACGATATTCCACATGACATGAAGGAATCACTCTCTTCCCACAGGTGAAGACAGAGGCATCATGGGACTGCACCGTTCATGACAGTCCTGAGCTAAATCGAGTGACGGGGCCAGATCTCAGGATTTACCTCACAGTCCGCACCATGGTTCTGCTCAGTCATCCCGCACAAATGCAGCTGGTCCTGCGCAAGCGCATCTGCGTGAACCTCACCGGACGACAGGTGTGACATTTAAAGGGTTAGTTCACCCAAAAAGTTCTGTCATTAATTACTCCCCTCATGTTGTTGGAAACCCGTAAGACCTTTGTTCATCTTCGGAACACAATTTAAGATATTTTGGATGAAATCTGAGGGCTCTCTGACCCTCCCATAGACTGCAAGGTAACTACCACGTTCAAGGTCCAGAAATAATTAATGACAGAACTTTCATTTTGGGGTGAACTAACACTTTAATGTGTGTGACTCGACTGATGGGGTTATTTTTGTGTTTTTTTTATTGAGTGCTCTTTCATCGATTGGATCTCTTCCTGCAGGGCTTTGCTCAAAGTCTGCTGAGGAGAATGTCTCACCGCAGCTCGATTCACGGCTGTGGAGTCACGTTTGAGATCGTCTCAAATATCCCAGGGGTACGTGAAGAGCAACACGATCTTTTCTTGTTTGAGTAATGTGAATTTTTTGATACTATACATTAGTGTTCAGAAGTTTGAGGTCTGTAAGATTTTTTTTAATGTTTTTGATAGAAGTCTCTTATGCTCATCAGGACTGCATTTATTTGAGAAAAAAAAGTAATATTGTGAAATATTATTGCAATTTAAAATAAGTGTTTTCCATTTGAATATATTGTACAATTTAATTTATTTCTGTGATCAAAGCTGAATTGTCAGCATCATTACTCCAGTCTTCAGTGTCACATGATCCTTCAGAAATCATTCTAATATGCTGATTTGCTGCTCAAGAAACAGTTTTGATTATTGTCAATGTTGATTCTTTGATGAATGTGAAATTCAAAAGAACAGAATTTTTTGAAATAAAGTCTTTTGTAACATTATAAATGGATTTACTGTCACTTTTGGTGCATCCTTGCTGAATAGAAGAATAATAATTTCTTTAAAAAAAATCCTACTGACCCCAAACTTTTGAACGGCACTGTACATAAGTCTGAGAAACAGGTAACAGAAGCAGGTGTGTGCATTTGTTGACAGGACATTCAGAGCTCAGAGGACAGAGAGATGCTCGCCCGACTGGCCGCCAGCACCGACAACCCAGGAGCCGACAGTGAAGCCGCCATCGAGAAATACCTGCGGAGTGTGTTAGCAGTAGACAACATCCTCACGCTGGACCGCCTCAGACAGGTCTGACACACTGTGTCTGCTTTATATATATGCCTAAATAAGAATAGAAATGCTTTGTTTTTTGCTGTATACACGTGTCATCTTTGTATTTTTTGTGAATTCAGGAGGTTTCGGTGAGGGAGCATCTATCAGATAAAGGAAAGATTCCCAAACGCTGCCTCAGTTCACCAAATGTACACCGGGTAAGACATAAACAATATCTCTGAGCAAAAATACATCATCTAAATCAGCTCAGACCTAATCCAGAAATGAAACACAATCTGCTTATTTTTCAGCTCTCTGGCAGCAGGAAAGATCTGTCCACCAGCCAAGACTCAGAAGACAATAAAGTGAGAAAACACACCTTAAATAGTGGCGTAACAGTTTAGATTTCCTATAGTTTGGTTCGTGTCTCAGTTCGGTAAATACTTAGTATGCCACTGTTTTGGGAAACCACTCATAACAAGCAATGATTTACAGAGCTGGGTAGATTACTTACAAGTTATAGTTCGTTACTGATTCCATATTTCATTACAAAAATTGTAGTTAGTAACATAATCCATTACATTACATATTTTAGGTAATCAGACTACATTTTGATTACTTTTAGATTACTCATTTAACACATTGATTTAAATAGAATAATATTGTACCATATTGATATTAAAATGCAAAGTAATATATTCCATTCGTTGGTATTAACAACATAAAGTGAATTAAGCACTAAATTTCAGGGTTTCCCAAACTGGGGTTCTTGAAGGAACTGCAGTTTAATGAAAAGCTAATAATTAATTAAGTCATACAAATTTAAAATTAAAATAAATAATTTTAAAATAACATCAACGTAAAAAATGAAATATTTTGTTAACCTGCATGTCAAGAAAAATGTAAAAGATGAAAAAGAATTAGGCAGAATCAATAAATTATGAATAAATTATTTATATTGTGTAAATATAGGTAAAATGTAAGTATTTTAAAATGTAATTTAATCTATATACAAGTACTTAATTTTTGGAAACTGATTACGAAATCCAAATTTCATGTAATCAATTACTACCCAGATCTGATTATTTATTACTGGGATCACTCGGTAACATCCAGTATACTCAGATTTGTACAGTATTTGCATCGTTTCATTTTCAGATTCATTTTATTACTTGGAACACCTAAGGATAAAAACCTTAGCAACACCCTAGCAACCACTTATAATACCATAGCAACATAAAAATGCTTAGAACACCTTAGCAACGCCCTAGTAACCACTCATAATACCACTGCAATTGCAAAGTAACATAACTAAAATACTCAGAACACCTTAGCAGCACCCCAGCAACCAGCCTAAACTCTCTAGTTCCCTTTCATTTACTGTCCATCCAGATGTTCAGCTTGTTTAATGATGGTTTCTTGTCTGTGCTTTGATGTTCTGTAGGGTGGTTGGGACAGTCGGCAGGAGATTTCTGTGCTAACATTAGCCACGAAGAGCCCATCTCACTCAGCGTCGGTACAAAACCAAAACTCAGAGCCAGGTAACTGTCCTCATCCTCTTCTGCTGTCCACCTTCCCCTTCACAGGTAAGACTGAGCTTACATTACCTGATGGAGTTTGACTTTACTCCAGTGTTTGGCTGTCTAACATGACAACAGCAAAAAAAAAAAAAACAGCAAAAATAATACTCAGAGCACCTTAGCAACACCCTGGCAACCACCCAGAACACTATAACCACATAAAAACAGTGAGTGCACCTTAGCAACACCCTAGCAACAATTCAGAACACTATAGCAACATGATAAAAACACTCAAAACACCTTAGCAACACCCTAGAGCACACAGTGACACATAGCCACATAGTGACATTGTCAAAAAATACTTGGAACACCTTAGCAATGCCCTAGCAACCACTCATAATACCACAGCAATTGCATAACAACAGAAAACACTTAGAACATCTTAGCAACACCCTAGCAACCACTCAATACCACTGCAACAATATACAAATGATAAAACACCTTAGCAACACCCTAGCAACCACTCATAATACAACTGCATCTTCAAAGTAACGATTAAAATACTCAGAACACCTCAGTGACACCCTAGCAACCATTCAGAACACCATAACAACATAACAGCACTGAGATCACCTTAGCAACTCCCGATCAACAATTCAGAACAATATAGCAACATGATAAATATGCTCAGAATACCATAGCAACACCCTAGCAAACATTCAAAACACCTTAGCAACATAGTAAAAACACTCAGAACACCTTAGCAACACCCTAGCAACCACATAGCTACATTGTTAAAAATACTTGGAACACCTTAGCAATGCCCTAGCAACCACTCTTAATACCACAGCAATTGCACAGCAACATAAAACACTTAAAACATCTTAGCCACACCCTAGCAACCACTCATAATACCACTGAAACTGAAAAAAAAAAATGATAAAACACTCAAAATACCCTAGCAACCACTCATAATACCAATGAAACTTCAAAGTAACATGATTAAAATACTCAGAACACCTTAGCGACACCCTAGCAATCATTCAGAACACCATAGCAACATAACACTGAGAGCAACTCCCTAACAATTGAGAACACTATAGCAACATGGTAAAGATGCTCAGAACACTTTAGCGGCACCCTAGCAACCACATAGCATCATTAAAAATACTGGGGGTGCGTCTCAATCAGCTCCCGAGCTCGTGAATCAGTAGATCGTGTACACGAATTCGGGCACTGGTAAGTTCCCTGACTCCCTGCACGTTGGGACAGTGATCACTCGAATTCCAGTGACATGATTACGTACAGCGTCAACGGACAACATAATAGAACGTCATCACTGGAATTAATAAACAACATGCAGGACCAATCTAATTTTTATATTATTTTTTATTCTCTTTAAACACATTGTTCCGTTGCATGTTCTTACAACATTTCAGCCGAATATTAATTATAAATGTTAATTAGATGTGTTCAATTCCTGTCTAGCAATGTGTGTTTGTTGAAATGTACTAAAAACGTTTTTTCTTTTCAAATCTTCTATCACGCATCATTATATTTATTGAGTTGGCTCGTGTGGTTTGTTTCACGCTTCAGAAATGTGACGTTATTTCCGGTAAGGGAGCATAGTGAGCGCCGATGCTCCCTAGTTTTCTAGTTGCACTCCCTAGTGCATTGTGGGATTTTTCAGGGAGCGAACGTTCCAGTGGACACTCATAATATCACTGCAACTTCAAAGTAACATAATACTCAGTACACCTTAGCAACACCCTAGCAACCAGCCACATATTTCTAGCACCTTGTCACCAAGCACCACTTTTCTTCAGATAAGTTATTGAAAGCTGTAACTGATTGCTAGTACCCTTGACCTGCTGGCCTGTGCATTAACTCAGCACTCCATGGCGCTTATTAAAGATTTGTGTTTGCAGCAGTTGTTTGGTGCATGTCGTCAATGTGCAATAAAGTAAAACTGTTCAGTAAAAAGTGTATGCGGTTCTTTTGATCGCTGTGCTCTGTTTGGAGGCGCTGATCTGCTTATGTAGTTTTGTTTTTGCTTTATTCATGCTTTGCGCTTTTTTTAACTCACATGGGTTTCCCTTCTGCCTTTCTTCTGTCCTTCCATCTTTCTCTCCTCTGCTGCTCCTCAAACCCGTGTTCCTGCAGGTCTCTCAGGATTTGCTGCATCTTATTTCTCCCCAGTGAAAGCTCTAGTGTCTCCAGTACCCAAGATGTTCAAATCTCTGTTGTCCAAGAAAGAGGAGAAGAAAGAGACGCCTCCTCCTGCTGCCTTTGAGCAGGTAACAAAACCTGCTGTGGCTCTAAAATATACTTCACAAAACATTTCTAGATTTAGAAAAGCATAATATAGTATTATCACTGCACAGTGTACCAATCTGTGATTAGCATACAATGTCCTGGACTTATAAATTTAGAGTTCATGGTTATGTCTCATCTGTATTGAAATGATTAATATTTTTACTATAGTAAAATAAAATAAAATATAGAATTTTTTAACCCAGAAAAATAATTGCAACATTCATCAAGTTGCAAAATGTATGGCAAATGTGTGGTATTCCTGGTAAAATTCTGATATTTTGAAAACTATTTTCATCTATTTCAACTAGAATGTGCCACGTATTGTTGTTCAGTCTGTCAGTCTTGAAGACATCAACAGCTATGAACTGGTAAGTCTGTTCAGTCTGTCTGTTCAATTTTATTTTTTTAATTTATATAAATAAATTTTGTATAATATTTGTATCTTTTTGAATAGTAATAAAAAAAAATTTTTATGTTTTAATGTTTATATAAAAAGTCATGTTTGATCTTTTATTTTGAAGACTCCACAGTCTCCTTCAAAATACATATTTCCCATATTTCCGGTTATTCCTGATAAAGTAGAGACCACTGAAGCATCCACCATATCCTCAGAAACCACGTCTGACATCCAGATAGTAAGTCTACATGTATTATAGGCTGCTCCTTATTAGTATTGTGAACAGTATCTGGTGATGTGGTGTAGCGGGTAACATAAAAGTTGGTTTTAATACTGTGTATATTATTACTTACCTTGATCTTTATGATCTCTTCAGAGCCATGCTATGGAAACTCCAATTTCAGAGAATCCAGAGAATGTTAAGGAGATTCTGTTGCCTCACCTTCCTCAAGAAGTTAAAGAAGTTCCAACTCTTTCTGTTCCTCCAGTGGTTGAGGAAGTTCTACCATCTAATCTTTCTCCAGAAGTTGAGGTTCCACCTCCTAATCGTTCTTCAGAGGTTGAGGAGGTTCTACATCCATCTGTTCCTCAAGTGATTGAGGAAGTTCTACCATCTAATCTTTCTTCAGATGTTGAGGTTCCACCTCCTAATCGTTCTTCAGAGGTTGAGGAGGTTCTACATCCATCTGTTCCTCAAGTGATTGAGGAAGTTCTACCATCTAATCTTTCTTCAGAAGTTGAGGAGGTTCTATCTCCATCTGTTCCTCCAGTGGTTGATGAAGTTCTAGCTCCTAATCTTTCTCCAGAGGCTGAGGAAGTTCTATCTCCATCTGTTTCTGCAGAAGTCAGAAAGGTTCCACCTCTTCCTGCTTCTTCAGGAGTCAAAGAGTCTCTACCTCCTATGGTTCCATCCGAGATTAACGAGGTTCCACCTCCTGCTTCTGTAGAGGTTGAATACCCCAAGCAAAGCCCAGTTGGTGATTCAACAAACAGCTCCATCAGCGATGTCTCAAGTGGATACATCTCCACAAGTGTCTCCACAGTGACTCTCTCTGAGTGTGCGGTCTCGAATGTTGACCCTCCTCTCCTTGACAGCACAGAGGCCAAAATAGACTCTACTTCCAAAAGGACTGAACCTAAAACAGAGTTTGTGCCAACAACCAGCACATGCCCAGAGCATCAGTCAAAACTTGAACCAGCTGACCTAGAACTTGGAAAATGGGCACCTATAGAATCCCAGACATCAGAAGAACATGGTCAAGTGTCTCCTCTAGATACATCTCCTCAAAAACTCCTCAGTGTTTCTGATTCCTTACCTCAAGAAACCTCTGAAGCCAACGTCTCTTCATCTTGTTCAGCCGCATCAGTACCATCTACACCACTGGCACTACCAGCTGCCTCAAAAGCAACTGATCTGTCAGTTCCAGTCAAGACAGCTAAGCCATCAACACCTGACCAGCAATCAAGACCTGAACAAAACGTCAAACCCACTCCTGCTCCCACCTCCAACCCTTTCCAAATCCACAGAGTCAAGACCTCCGGCCTTAAGTCTTTCAAGGGAATCCTGCATGAAGAAGATGTAGAGGGCAAAACTAAACTCGGTCACTCTTTATCTTCACTGAGTGAGTCTCAAGAAAGACTGGAGATCCTTTCAGATTCAGAGGAAAGCCTAGAGACTCCCGACTGGCTGAAAGAGGGGGAATATGTGACTGTGGGCACAAATAAAACTGGAACAGTCCGTTATGTTGGACCGACTGACTTTGCAAAGGGCGTTTGGGTTGGAGTGGAACTTGATGTTCCAGCAGGTTGGTAATGCTCTTTAACTTCAGTAGATCAATTTATCAGTAGAGTCAATACTACCGGCATGCATATCAGATTCCAGTCATTGGAAAGGACTTGCAACCCATTGACCATGGACAATGGATTTGCAAATATTGTTTGTAAGGAGCATTTGCATGGATAACTTGAGAAGTCAGTAGATCTAGAGAACACTGTGTGCAATACCACCTTCTTGCTGTACTGGCCAGGGCTGCATTTCCCAAAAGCATCGTAAGCCTAAATAGATTGTATAGACCGTTGGTGCCAATGGCTTCTATGATCTACTTAGGCTTATGATGCTTTTGGGAAATGCAGCTCTGGTCCCAGGTGTTACATGTTGTGGACTTGTGGTTTTGTAGGATTCAAAATGGTACTCCCTAGTGCCTTTTTAAAAAAAAATATCAATGGACCATTGATTAGCAATGGTTCTCTTCTCGTATCTGCCACCAAATAATGATGCTCTTATTCATTTCTAGATAAAAACTATGGTTTAGACTTGTGGATGTGTGTGATTCAAAATGGCGCTCACTAGTGCCTTTTTACAAAATTTGCACTTGCATAGACTTCATAGTGGTCCACTAACCAACTTTTTCAATTATGAGAAATGATGTCTAATCCCATGATGGACCATTGATTGAAAAATATTCTCCTGTCATATGCACCACCAGATAATTATGCTCTTCTTCATTTCTAGGTACAATGTGGTTTTAGATTCAAAATGGTTCTCATTAGGCCCTTTTTACGAAATGTACACTTGCCTATACTTGAAAGCAGTCCATTAACGAATTGTCCCAATTATTTAAAATAACGTCTAATCCCATGATCAATGGACCATTGATTTGAAAATCGTTTTACCTAGAAATTAAGACAAGCAAAATTGTTTGTACTTGTGATTTCGCATGATTCAAAGTTGTGCTCACTAGTGACTTTTTATGAAATTTACACTTGCATAGACTTCACAGTGGTTCACTAACCAACTGTTTCAATTACAAGAAATTAAACCTAATCCCATGTTCATTTGACTATTGATTTGGAAATATGATTTTGAAAAATTGTGCTCACTAATCCCTTTTTAAATGAAATGTATACTTGCATGGACTTGAAAGTGGTCCACTAACCAAGAGTTCCAATTTTAAAAAATTGCCTAATCCCGTGATCAAAAGAACGCTGATTTGCAAATGTTCCTTTTGTATGCACCACCCAACAATTATGCTTGTCTTAATTTCTAGGTAAAAACAATGGTTCGGACTTGCGGACTCAAAATGGTGCTTTCTAATGCCTTTTTGTGAAATTTACACTTGCATAGATTTCACAGTGGTCCATTTACCAACGGTTTCAATTATTAAGAAACGATGTCTAATCCCATGATTAATTGACCATTGATTTCAAATGTTCTGCACCAAATAATTATGCTATTCTTCATGTCCAGGTAAAAACGATGGTTCGGTTGGTGGTCGCCATTACTTCCACTGCAACCCTGGTTACGGCGTTCTCGTGAGACCGAATCGGGTCACGAAAGCGGCGGGTACCGCTAAACGGTCGAGGCAGAAACGCAAGCAGAACCTCTCAGGATCTAGTCCCAACCTGGCAGCCCTTACAGCGATGGCCAAAGGAGAAGCTGGAGCACGCAAGGGTGAAAACAGGAAGTCTTGGGTTAGCTGAGGACAATGCATCCTTGTTGATGGACGTGTACAGAGGACAGTATTGGTATGGCACTGAAACACTACACTGATACTTGCAGGGATGTAACTGCCATCTGATTTACTAATGCATATCTACACTACATAGTGCTTATAGTGTTCGAAAAACCTGTTTCAATCCTCAGTAAGCAGTATTTTTGGTATTACTCTTTTTTTTTATGTTTTTTAATAACACAAAGTGCCCAGTTTACCTGAAGCCAATGTCAGGGAGTATGTGCATGTGGATGTTCTCTAAAAAAATCAGGATACTGATGGATTCACTTGAGTGCTTCATTTCATGATTTTACATACAGTAGGAAGTTGGGATGGGTTTTACTTGTGGAGATTAAAAGTGCCAGACAGTTTTATTCATAAATGAATGTTTTTAGTGTTGTTATGGTGAGTTAGTTCTGTATTTTCTGTTGGTTTGGTACCTTTGTATTACTGTTTTTTTCTTTTTCTTGAATGAGTAATTTATGATCAAATTGTTATTTGTTTATTTATTTGCAGATCAAAGTAATGACAAAAAATAATAATGTTGAAGATTTTATATTGCAATGGTGAGCGTAATAAACTTTATTATTTTATTATCTTGCCTTGTTATACACGTCAAACTCTTAAAAGAATAATATCACAAGGTTGATCTTCAATATACCTTTATTTTCCAGAAGATAAAGTACTAAAATAAACACAAGTTTTAAAAAAAGTCATTTTAAACAAAGAAACTGTACAAAAAGTTCATATATACTATAGTATACTTACAGAACAGTCTACTGTCCAAAAAAGGCACTAAATTCTTAAATGGGAGATACATATGTTTCACAACAGAATGCTTTGAAATCATAGAATTATTTGATTCAAACAATCTTTAAATTCATAGTTACGGTCTTCTGTTTCTTTATACAGTTGCTTTTATAAGCCTATAGGTTTTTTGTTTATAGACATGAAAATGCACTCTGAGGAACTAAATGGAAAGCACCCCCTTTGAACCAGCAGGGTTACTGTTCATTGCTCTGGAATAAAACACTTGAGGCAACAGAACGAGTCATTTGTAGAATCTGTATGTCGCTTTGAGATCATGTAAATGTCAATACTTGACATCATACTGCAGTTTGGCACATTCTGTCATGTGTACCAAGAGGCTGTAATGACACACATATGCGGACAATTGAACACACCTGAACATTACAGCATTAGAGAATGACCTTTTTTGTGTATCGCTGCAATGTTTAAATGTAACAAACTTATAGTACAAAACAAATGTGGCAAATAAAGTAGCAAGTTTCTTGCGTGAAGGGGGTGCTCAGGAGACTGCTCTGAACGTAAAACATAAAAACGGTGTAAAACAATCAAATAAAAAAGAATCTCTTGAATTATTATTAAACAAAAATTGTCATTTCATAAATATTAGTTGTACACAGGAAGATATAGGAGAAAGGATACATAAAAAGCTGGCCTTCATTCATGACACGGACAGAACCAATTTCTGTTTAGCTGTTTGTAAAACCATTCTTATGTAATTTGTCACTTTATGTAAGTGTTGCATTGAGTTTGTGATCATTAATGTAAGAATGGCTCTACGAATTATTCGTTCGGCTCGGTTCAATGAATGAAGCCCAGCGAGAGAATAAAGTTCTTTTAGAACCTTTTTTTTTTTTTTTTATTAAAAAAAAAAAGCTACATTTTGGAACCAAGCTTATGTTAGATGAGAGTTCAGACTCTCGAAGCTCTGTGGCAGCGGAACAAACATTTATCAGTCAGTCTCTTGTGAACAATTAACACTGTGAAATTCTGATGTCATTTCACAATAATAATAAAGCTTCGTGGGAGTTTGCACGTTATAATTCTTAACTTGAGCCAAAATTTGAGTGGAATGATATTTCACGTTGACGTATTTAATTCTAAACACGATGAGAGCAGATTCTTCAGTCTTGACACTTTGTGTGAAATCTTTGCATGTAAATCAAACGTAAAAGCTAAATAAATACAAACATAAGAATAGCGCTTCAATGCAAATTCACTTTGGGTAATGCTGGACACTTAACAGTTAAAAATAAAGAAAGCTAGCTGTCTTGCAGGTTCATTTAGAGTCCAGGAGACTTGAGCTTTTGCGGTTATGTAACCACATCAAGTTTCACTACAATTATAATTCACCACCAAATTATCATTTGAACATGATTCAAATCTAAATACAGTATAATGCAGTTGGATAAATCTCACCATAAATCCAGGTTAAATTTCATCCACAAACCAAAAGGAAAATAATATGAAATTATATTTTGCATTTTGAAGATATTTTTATGGCATCATAGCAATTATGCACATTTTCCTTTAAAGGGGTCATAGGATGCCCATTTTCCACAAGTTGATATGATTCTTTAGGGTCTTCATGAAAAGTCTGTAACATAGTTTGGTTAAAATTTCTCAATGGTAGTGTAAAACAACACCTTATTTACCCTGTCAAAAACAGCTCTTTTCAGAGCACGCAGTTTTGTAGCATTTTCCTTTAAATGTTCATTTAACACCCCGCCCCTCTGCTCTCAGAGAGACTGTTTACTTTAGCTGCATTCATCGTGAAACTTGCTAATTAGTACATTATTAGGAAAGGCGATTTGCAAAGATTCATAAAAAAAAACCTTATACTCACTTCTTCTGTAGGTGAAGCTGGATCACGAATGATTCGTGTGAACATAAACGCATTTATGTTGATCGCGGGCGCATTCCCTTCAAAAACAAACGTAATTCACTGCGTCTTCAGCGGCTCAGATGTCGGGAGTAAATGACGACTGCTATGTTCATTATTACATCCAACAACAGAACACCTCAATCGCTTAGGAGTCATTCTTGTCTACATCTGCTCCAGCGGTGAAACAATGGCGGACTGATGACAGTCACTCAGGGCGGGTCTAAGGTAAGACGCCAGTTCAGTCTGTGCTGAAACACTACTGTCAATCAAACTATCGTGGCTGTCTGTGTGACGTCACACAGACAGGCATCTGAGATCGGCTCGATTTGAGAAAGGGGTAAAGATTTTAGTAGATTAACAAAAAAACGCTGGGTGGATTTTTCTCATTTTAGGGTGGTTGTGTACACACACTGCCAACACATTTCAGTTCAAACAACTTGTAAAAGTGCATGTAGCATCCTATGACCCCTTTAAAGAAAATCCTTTAAAATATTGTTTTAATATTTTTTTGTTTAATTCTTTTGTTTAAAATATATATCTATATTTAACCTAAATATATCTATGTTTAAGACCATAAACGCTTACAATTTTCAGCATTTTTGGAGAGGAAAATGTGCTTTAAAATCTGCCAAAAAAACCTCTCTAGTCTCTAAAATATTTATTTTATGCAAAATATATTAATTTCTCTTTCACTTTGTGGTGAAATGTGTTCTTGACAGTTTTCATGAGATTCACCCAATTGCTGTTTGATGAAATCCCTTACAAAAGTAAAGTAGAAACGTTAAACCTGTGAACTGAGAGCATCTGTAGTGGGAATGGAGGAGAGCATGGATCCAGAGCAGAAATTTGCTGAGACTCGCCTCTCTCCTAAACCATCTGCCTTTAGCTTATCTGTGGGAATGAGGGTCACTGGAGCACACGGACAGGAAGCACACCAAACATTATACAAGTTACTGGAATGAGGTACGAGGTTTGGGTCGGCAAGGGTTAAATAAGAGACGTAGGTGATGGCCGAAACATCGTGCAACGACCTTCCACTTATCAGTTCCTGTCAAGAGTGTGTGTCGTTGACTCTGGGTGTGTTTAGTGGTTCAGTAGGAGTGTCGATGGTAGGCCAAATGGAGCTGATTTGGTCATTGCTCCAAGAACACAAACGCACGCACGCACTCATCGATCCTCTTCATCCTGCGTTCTTCCTCAGTCGTCATCCAGTGACTCGGTCTTGATTTCACTGGCCACGCCTCCCGGATGGGACAGGGCGAGGATGCTGTGATTGACAGCTGCCATCTCCACTGCGAGAGAGATGGGGTCCTGGTGGTCTGCGTGATTGCCGGTGTCATCCTTAAAGAGACGTGTGCGTGAATGAGCAACTGCGTCAGTGAAACATTCGATATCAGGTTACAAAAGTAATCAACTTTTTTTTGTAGTATTTTAAAATGTTAAAATAAACTTTTGCTTTATATGGAAAATTTTAGATTTCATTGTAGGAATTTCATTTTTTTACAACAGCGATCAGTATATCATACTGATTATCACTATTGCATTGGTCAAAATAATATAAATGTTAATATAAATGTTTACACAGTAATATCATAAACGAATACATAATATATTTATAAAAATATGTAAGTAAATTGTTTTATTATTATTACATAAAAATATTTTAGTTTAAAAAATGTTTTTTCTTTGGGACTGTCGATTTAACATGTTAATTTGATGCAATTAATTATGGAGGGGGGGACACTTTAAAATTAACACACACCACATATTTCATTTAGCACAATGTCTTTTGGGGGGTAATTTCTCAGCCCAAACTGATTTGGTACATCATGTGATGAATTAAGATTTAAAATTTTAATCATTTTAGATGTAAAATTTGAATTGCTTGACAGCCCATGTATGTATGTGTGTATATATATATATATATATATATATATATATATATATATATATATACACACACACACACA